TATCATCCTGAGGGGGTAGCGAAACTAAAAGAAGATTTTTGTTTTTGCTTGGTTTGTTTTAGTTTATTTACTTCTGGGGGGTATCTCCCACAGGAACCTCATGCTGTGATCCACCACCCAGGTCACAGGCATACATGCGTGCACCTGGCATGCCTAGGGAGGTCGCAGGATGCCAGCCCAAGACCTTTCCTATGTGGATTCATTGCCACTCCCACTGTGCCACTTCCTGGGCCCCCAAAGAGGCTTTTAAGCAGAAAAGCGCCCTGATCAGATCAGATCTGGAGTTTATCAAGAGAAATGCAGCTTCCTTCTCTCTTCCTCAGCACTGCCTGTGTAGGTGGCGGCCATCTCTTACCCAGCGTCATGGCTGCCCTCCGGCCCCTCATGAAACCCAAGATCATCAAAAAGAGGACCAAGAAGTTCATCGGGCACCAGTCAGACCGATATGTCAAGATTAAGCGCAACTGGAGGAAACCCAGAGGGATTGACAACAGGGTGCGGAGGAGGTTCAAGGGCCAGATCCTGATGCCCAACATGGGTTAGGGCACCAACAGGAAAACGAAGCACATGCTGCCCGGTGGTTTCCGGAAGTTCCTGGTCCACAACGTCAAGGAGCTGGAAGCTGCTGATGTGCGATAAGTCCTACTGTGCTGAGATCACCGTCGCCTCCAAGAACCGCAAGGCCATCGTGGAACGGGCAGCCCAGCTGGCCATCAGAGTCACCAATCCCAACGCAGGGCTGCGCAGTGAAGAAAACGAGTAGACGGCTGGTGTGCACGTTCTTTGTTTCTAAATAAAGCCACAACCCCCCCCCCCAAAAAAAAAAGAAAGAAAAAAGAGAGAAATGCAACAGTGTAGAAGGAGAGCTGCCTGGTACATCACGGGTGCGCAGGCCAGGCTGTGGGAACCGTCCAGATGAAAGACGGTGAGCAGAGAACAGGCGGTGGTGGATTCCAGTGGCAGAATCCACAGAACCTCCAACGTGCCCTTTGCAGGAGAAGCCACCAGGATGGGGTTAGCAGCCTCCTCTTCTCCCACCCTTCCTGCTCTGGGCTGCCTGGCCTGCTGGCCTGACGCAGAAATTCAGAGCTGGAAAGGTCATCACCCCCATCGCTGTCTAGATCAAGCTCTCCAATTTCCTTGTGGGCGGAGGGGGGGAAACTAAGGCTCAAGGGAACCCTGCCCATCAGCGGCAGAGCCTGGCCCAGAACCCAGGCGTTTCATGATGCAGAGCAGAGTGTTATGGGCTCAAAAACAGCTTGGCGCAGGAACCGGGGGAATGCAGGCGGGGAAGCAAGTGTGTTTCTGCAGAACGAGAGGGCCTCGACATTCTCAAGGGGTCCTACCGTCCCTCGGAAGGCCGGTCCACTCAGATGCCTGGCTCCAGGCGCTGGAAAGGAGCTAGGGTGGAATAGATCCGGTGGGTCCGCATGGATGCCTGGCTGGCTGGCTGGCTAGGCTGGGACGCTGTGCCCACCCGACGGAATTTCCATCGAAACAGAGCGAAACTCTGAATTGGGAAACCCTTTTCCTTGAAATGTCTCCGAATACCGGCTGGGACCTTCCTGTTTTTCTGGGGTACTGTTGGGGGGAACTTCCTCAGGTTTCTGTATCCAGTGTAGGGACGCTTTCGGTTCTGCAGGGATTCCCGGAGACAGCGTGGGAGAGAACCGCGGCTCCCGAGCGCCCACGGGGATCTCTCTGCTCTCTTTGCCCCCAGCTGGAAGCAGGGTGGCTCCTGGCCTGCCTCTGCCTGAACTCTGTGGGTCCCGGGTTCTTCGGGGACCATGCCCCCTCCCCCCGCCCCCAAGCGCGTCCCTAAACTCCCTGGGGAGTTAGATTCCTGGGCTTGTCCTGGGGAAATCCCTGGCCGAGAATTGCCAGGACTCCGCCCCCCACATAGCCTGGCGACGATTGGCCTTAGGTGACCCCGCCCCTTTCCTGGGCGGGGCCACGGGCTGGGCTGCCGAGTTACTAGACGTTCCCCGCCCTGCTGCCCTGCGCTCCCGCCTCCTGGGTCTCACCCCGCCATGGTCCATCTGCCTCTACAGTGTGTCCTCTGGGGCTGCTTGCTGACCGCCGTGAGTTGAGTTTCTGCCTCGACTTGACGAGGGATTGGGATGTGAGAGTGAGGAATGGGAAGGAAAGAGAAGCAAGACATTGGGGAAGAGACCTACGTAGCTGGCGTGGGTGTACAGGAGGGTGGATGGAAGCTGGGTAAGGTCCTGGGTAAATGAGGTGCACTGACTCTCCTCCGGAGGTCCCAGGGAACCCCACAAGGGCGTTTAGGTAGGGTACTGCCTAGATGGCATGGATGGGGTTGGAGTTTAGGGAGCCTCACTGTTCAGAAGCGTGATCCTTTATCTGGTCAGAAGTCTGCGTTCTGGGTTTGCCTCAGAGGCTGGCCATACGGAGACTAGTAGAGGTCTCGGGGTGGGGAGGGAGGCCGGCCAAGGGAAGGGGTGGGTTGGCCTGTTTCCTGTTCCTTTCTCGTTGTGGACACTTGCCAGCCTCCGTACATGGTTATCATCTCTTTGCCTGCTGGGGCTGCCTTCTCCCAGGGCCCTCTGTGAGAATAAGGACGGGTGCAGAGGCCCAGGTACTTTCTTGAGAAAGCAAGAAGATTTTAACCACCCCTCCACACCTCCCACTCTCAACTCCTGGAAGATCTAACCTAGGAGAGATCCCCAAGGCTGCACTCTCTGCCTCCAGAATTTACAACAATGTCTGGGGGAGCTGATAATCCATGGGACCCACGAAGGGGTTAGGAGACCAGCAGGGGCTTCTCCAGGCATGAGAAGGGCTCAGACCAACCAAGCATATCTCCGGGATTTTCAGAAGTCCACACTTGACTCACTTTTTGTTTGAATGTATTTTTGTAGTTCCTCATTCTGGAGGCTGGGAATCCCCTAAGTACCTGACCCTCTCATCCCAGCCCCTCTGGCCTCCCCCTGCTTTCAGAGACTGTAGATTCTGGCATGAAGTCTGGGAAGGAATGGTCTATAGCGTGTGTGTGTGTGTGGGGGGAGGTTTAGTAGGGAAGCTGCTTTGGTTCCGGAACTTTCATTTTTACTCTGAGCAATGGATCTTAGGGAGAAAGGAGGCAGGAGGGTGGAGCTGGAGAGAGGCAGGGAGAGCTTTGGGGGAGGAGAGGAGGAAGAGCCGGAGCAGATAGGGTGAAGGGCAGTCTGGCCTCCTCGAGAGCAGAGTCTGCCCTCATCACCCCCCCACCACCCCCAGTTTTGGCTCCAGGTAGAGGCTGGGCTGTGAGAGTAATATCAGGGACTGCTTATTAAGGGCACCTATTTGTCAGGCTCTGAGCAAAACACTGCATGTATTCTCAGTCTTGTTGCTTCACCTCTCCCATTATACAGAAGAGCAAACTGAAGTGCAGAAAGGATTGTCTTGCCAAAGGTCTCACAGCTAGGTAGTGGTGGTGATGGGATATGGGCCAACATCTACCTGATTCCCAAGCCTGCCTCTCAGGCGGAGAGAGTCTTCAAGCCTTGGGGCTGAGCTCGTATGGCAGGAGGATCAAGCTATGGGGAGTGGGGACTCACAAACACTTCATGTGTTTGAAGATGCCTCTGAGAGGTCCATGTTCATAGGATGAGGCCTCGAGATGCATTGGTGGGGGCTGTCACCTTTTCTACTTCCTTCCCCATTTGGGGTAAGATACATTTCTGTAAGTAATTTGCTTAGGTCCCCTAGCTGAATGAGAACCACCAGTTAGGTAGGATCCTGGACAGCAGGCCGGTTAGCCAGGGTGCTGAGCATCCAGGCAGATACATGTTCTATCGTGTGGTCAGGAAGGAAGGATGCACTTTTGCATAGAAAAATACATCATGACTTTCCCAACAACCTAATATATATGATGATTGAAACTGCAATTTAATGAGTCCGCTGTGTTCTGGACACTGTGCCGGACCACATACTTGCTCTCCATTTTCACAGCCCAACCTGCAGGGCAGATATTAGTACTCCGATCTCATCATCTTTTTCTCTTGCTATAAGGCATGTACACTTGCCAGAGAGAGCTGGGGGTAGGGTGGGAAGTGAGAAATCACCCCTTCCAGAAGATGGCCATACTGCGATCCCTTCTCCTCCATTCTTCTTTTGGGATTTTGGACACACATGCACTTGTGACTGGGATGACTTTCAAGTTGCCTGGTCCAGGACTTGAACTGTGAAGTCTGCCATGTAGCATCCAACTGCCTTAACCTCTACACCACTTGCTGGCCCAATTTTTTTTTCAACTTATGACAGAAGGTGTGCACGTGTACAAAAGAGAAAGAGAGACAACCCTCTACAGAGTCTCTTCATGCCATTATCCCCTTTCCCCAGCCTTCCAGCTCCTCTGGATCCTGGGCATTAGTGCGCACGCCCAGCATGTTTTCAGGCTGACTGGGATGCGAACCCATAGTCTGCCATGTGACTTCCAGCACCACAGTTCAGTTTGTTACTGACTGCACCACCAGGCAGGCTCATTCCTCCCACTTAGAGATGAAAAAACTGGGGCTAAGAGAAGTGAATAGTAAGTGTGATGAAGTTGAGGCTGAGCCTAAACTTGAACACTCAAACCTGTGCTCTTTTCCCTGGTTCCGCCCAAAGTGTGGGACGACTGAAGGGAGCATGTGGGTTTAGAACTAAACAGACTCACTTTACAGTTCCTTAAAAATCCTTCTCATTTTTTCAAGGGGCATGTCTCTGGAAATAGAATATAGTTGATGCCTCTCAAGGATTTGCTAATTCCCCCTCTTTAAACAAAAATCAAGAGCAGGCCTGGGGGGTGGGCTTTCATCAAACCAGTTTTGGGAGGTTACTAATGTTTTATTATTGTCGAATTTACTTTTAGGGTTAACTTTTATTTATGAGAAGTAATTCTGGTTCTTCTCTCATGACAATGACACAAAGTTTACACCTGAAGTAAGTGTATTTAAATGAACAAGAAGTAATAGTATGGGGGACCGGCAGGTGGCATGGTGGTTAAGGAGCTGGACATTCCCACATGTGTGACCATGGTTTGAGTCCTGGGCCTGGTGGCTTGCTTTCTCAATTTCCTTCTCTCTGTGTGTCTGTCTTTCTCTGGTCAAATGAAAATAAATGATTGAATAAATAAAGTTAAATAAAAATGAATAAACTTTTTTTTTTTTAAAGAAGTAATAGCGTGGGTAGTGCCTGCATGCATTGATAGGAAGAACAGTGCAGGTAAAACGCGGGTTGATGAAGAGAAGCACGAGACCCAAGCCCTCGTTGGGATTTTGTCACCGTGGGATGCTGAGCAAGTCATGCAATCTCTCTGGCGCTCCGTCCCACCATCTGTAAAATGGAAGAGTTGAACTTAATCCTGCCAGCTTCACAATTCTAGCACTTTCTGAAAGAGGGGCAGGGTGAGCAGGCGATGAGGAATTAGAGGGAGAAAACATGATGGGACTTGGAGAGGGGAAGGAAGAGTAGCAGAATAGGAGGAAGAGGTCGTGCTAAATATAGCTGCAGCAGGACTGGAGCCAGCTGAGGCTAGCCCGCCTCAGGACTCCAGGGGAGGTCCTGCAGCCCTGGCATCCTGCTGGGTCTTCAGGAGAGGAAAGACTCAGGATTCAAGCCAAAAGGAAGGTATACTCCGTTTGGAGAATATTGTGAGGTTCCAACGGCATCACTTTGTAAAGTACCGGAAGGATTCACAGTGTGCTTTTGTAATCAGATCAGTTGTCAGTTTAGCTGAAAAACAAACACACCGCATAATCTGCAGGCCCCATTTTTTGCTTTGGACCTCTGCAGCTGCAGCCTCTGCCTGGCTGACTTTCACTTTCCTGCCCAGGAGGCTACAGCAGAGATTTCCAGATCCCTTTCGATTGCACAATTCTGTTTTCAGGTCCACCTGGAACCACCCACTGCATGCAGAGAAAACCAGTACCTGGAAAACGGCCAGTGCTGTAACCTGTGCCAGCCAGGTGAGAGGCCCCAGCTAGCCCCATCGAGGGACCCCTGTTGGTTTGCTGGCAGGTGCAGACCCCATGTATTAGCTGTAAATGTGAGTCTGAAACAATCCATTGTTGCCCATCCCTGTGTGCTGTCAGGAAGTGCCTGGGTCCCTCTCTACTGGGTAAGCCTAGGAGAAATCCCCAAGGCTGTGTTCTCTGCCTCCTGAATTTAAGATGACAAACACAGAGGGGCCTCAGAGAGATGACAATTGATGGGACCGAAGAAAAGCTTAGGAGATAAGCAGGGGCCTCTCCTGGGCTTTATGTTCATATCTCCTCCATCAGCCCAATCAAGCTATGGAGTATCCAAGACTTTCCTCTGAATTGCGCCCCCCCGCCCCGCCCCAAAGCCTGGCTTGATCATTTATAAAAGGTGGCTGACTCGTTGCATTGGGAAGAGTAGCCTCATTTCCCGGTTTTCCAGGAGAGAGGTTGGTGAATGACTGCACGGCGCTGACTGACACCGAATGCCTGCCTTGCGGTAAAGACGAATTCCTGGACACCTGGAACAGAGAGCCACGCTGTCACCAGCACAGATACTGCGACCCCAGTGCGTGGGCTGCTGGGGAGGGGTTTCCGGGAGTGGGCTGGTATCTCTGACAATGCAGCCCACTGATTTTATGTGGCCAGGGTCTGTTCTGATTGCTTGGGGTCTGGGGCATCCCAGTGCCTAAATGATCTGATGGCTCTCTCTACTTGGAAGAGGGTTTAAGAATAAAGAGTGGGCAGTGCGAGGAGCTGGGCTCTGAGCTTGGCCCAGCAACGAGTTTCTGGACTTTCCTTCCCATTTCTGCTCAGACCTAAGGCTCCGGGTCCAGACAAAAGGCACCTCAAAAACAGACACCACCTGCACCTGTGTAGAAGGCCAGTACTGTACCAGCAGTGTCTGCGAAAGATGTGCCCCACACAGTCTGTGCCTTCCTGGCTTTGGGGTCAAGCAGATCGGTAAGTGACCTGTTTGGGAATCAGCACTGGAGGCGGTGGGAGGAGCTGGGCAGTGGGTGCTCAGCCTCAGAGGTGGAGAGACTGGAGAGTCCACCCTGGGCCGGTGTCCCCACTAGCGGACTAGAGTGAGAACCTCCTGCAGAGGTGTCTGCCATGGGAGGGCACAGGAGAGGTTGCCTTGGACGCTGCAGCCATCCGGAGCAGTTCTCCCTGGGGAGGTGGGGGTGGGGGAGCTTAAGGCAGGAGCTCCCTTGAGAGTCCTTGTGATGGTTAATACCCCTCCCACCACTCCCAGCGACAGGGGACTCTGACACCATCTGCGAACCCTGCCTGGATGGCTTCTTCTCCAATGTGTCATCTGCTTCTGAAAAGTGTCGCCCTTGGACAAGGTATAAGGACCCATCCTTGCACTCCCTGCCCCAAGAGTGGCACGAGACCTGTCACCTCTCTCTAGCCACCTGGCCCTGCACCCGCATGCCTGCACACACCCGTGCCCTTGACCCATCTGCAGAGTGACCTCGTACTTCTCAGCGTGCCCCTTGCCTGCTCTCTCTAGTGATAACAGATGCTGTTGATCTCTCAGTCTTCTTGAAACTTGCCCTTCTTAGGGGTAATGGGATCCTCTCTTGGTTTTCCCTTTGGTCCTTCTTGGTTTTCTCCTCCTTTTTGCTATTCTAGGGTTTTGTTCTGGGCTTCCTCTTCCCTTGGGGAGGCTCTTTGCCACCTCCCCAAGGCCATCTCGTCCCCATCTTTGGCTTTGGCTCCATCTCCCTCCATGGTTCTGAACCAGCATCTCTGGTCTCGAGTTATCTCTGAAGGCCCAGGCTGTTATACCCCACTGCTGATCGTACGCCTCCACCCAGTGACTCAGGTCCCTCTAGCTTTGGAGGTCCAGATGGGCTCCCTGGCTTCTCCCCCACCTGGTGCAGAGGGCACACTCACCCCAGAGGCCTCCTTCCCTTCCCCACTTCTCAGAGAGCCCCCAGGACCTTTCCAGCCAGTCTTCCGAATCTGTCTCCTCACTCCCTCCACTGCCATCACCTTAGTTTGGGCCTCATCATCTGGGTGAGGCCTCCCTGCCTCTACTCTGTCCCAGTCAGCTGGTTCTCTCCTCATTTGCCTAAGTGAACTTTCAACAGATCCTTTCAGATGACGACACTCCCCTGTTGAAAATGTGTTGTAACTCTCTGCTGTCCTCGGGTGAAACCCAGACTCCTGAGCGCAGCCACAGACCATCCAGCGCCGTTTCCCGGCCTCTTCCCTCGTATCGTGCTAATTCTTCTGCTTGCAGTCCTCAAACACCTTGCACACTTTTGCCTCAAACTCTTCTGCCTGGAATCCCCTAAACACATGCCCCGTTAACATTTCGTATTTAATTTTAAAAAATATTTGCTGAGGCCAGCAGGTGGCGTAGTAGTTAAGGTACGAGACTCCCATAGAGTGGACTGTGGTTTGTGTCCCAGACCCAGTGGCTTGAAAATCACACCAGGCACATGTGTGTGCATGCCTAAAACCCCGAGAGAAGAATGGAGGAGAAGGGATTGCGACGTGGCCATCATCCTCCTGGGGGGTAATTTCTCACGTTTCCTCTCACTGTCTCTGTCTCTCTCCAGTGAGTACCCATGCCCTATGGCAAAAACAAAAACAAAAAACTTTTTAAAAAATTGCAGTTGGAGAGACCAGCAGTTGGTGTAATGGCTATGTCGCTGGACTCCCATGTAGACTAACATGGCTTGAGTCCCAAAATTGTGGCTTAAACTCATGCCAGATGCGTGTGCATGTGTGCCCAAGATCCTGAGAGGAGAATGGAGGAGAAGAGATTGTGACATGGCCATCCCCCCTGGGGGGTGATTTCTTGCTTTCTCTCTCTCTCTCTCTCTCTGTCTTTCTGGTGAGCGCATGTGCCCTATAGCAAAAACCTCTCAAAAAACATTTGCCAGTGGGCACATGCACTCACCAGAGAGAGAGAAAGAGATAAAGAAAGAGAGAGAGAGCACCCCCAAGGGATGGTCACACCACAAACCCATTTCTTCATCTCTTCTTTCCTCCCAGATTTCGGGCATGCACACACATGCACATACCCAACATGTTTTTCAAGTCACTGGGTCTGGGACTGGAATCACACAGCTGGCCATGTGGGATCCAGACACCAGAACCACTACACACCAACTGGCCCCTCTGTTTAATGCTAAGTTTGATACTTTGCAAGGTGGATCCACATGGGAAGGTACCTGATTTGCACCCAGAGACCCTTATGAGTACACCAGACACGTGTATGCCCATGGTTCAGGGCTGGCTGAGGCTGGAAGTGGATTTTGGTGTTCAGACCCTGTTTTTTTTGTTTTTTTTTTGGGGGGGGAGGGGGGCTCTCTTTCACTCTCTCACATGCTCATGGAGGAAATTAATGGATGAGCTTAAAAAGAAAAAATGTGCATGGGGCAGAAAGCATAGAACCACCCAGTGTGATGTCTCCCTCCCACCTCTGCCTCTTAGCCAGCCAGTTCTTCCTGGAGCCTCCCAATGTTCCTGCGAATCCTTCCAGAGAGCCTCCGAACAAACCAACAAAGACACATAAACGCACATAGCCATCCTCCTAGCTTTACACAAGCACAGAATAACACACGTGCTTCGTTTACCGTCTGTCTTTCCCAGCGGATCGCAGACCGCGTCCCCATCTACACGTGCACATGCTATCGTTTCTTTACTTCCTTCTTCTTCTCCTTCTTCTCCTTCTTCTTCTCTTCTTCTTCTTCTTCTTCTTCTTCTTCTTCTTCTTCTTCTTTTCTTCTTCTTTTCAAAGCAGAGCCACCCAGGAGGCATTATGGGAGTCTAGATCTGTGATGAGAAAGATCTGGCCCAGCGGGGTCACAGGAGAAATGGGGAGGAATGGACAGAGAAGGACATAGCACAAGAAAAATGTTCTCAGGTTGGAGAGGGAGAGAGACTTCAAAGGCAGCACACACGTTTGTCTTAGATGAGAAGAGTGTTGGGACCAGCAGTTGGCATAATGGCTATGTTGCTGGACTCCCATGTAGTTGACCATGGTTCGAGTCCCGGACCCGGTGGCTTAAACTCACGCCCAGCGCGTGTACGTGTGTGCCCAAGATCCCAAGAGGAGAATGGAGGAGAAAGGATTGCGGCATGGCCATCCCCCCTGGGGTTGATTTCTTGCTTTCTGTCTCTCTGTCTCTGTCTTTCTGGGGAGGGCATGCGCCCTGTAGCAAAAAAACCCGCTCCAAAATAAATAAATAAATAAATAAATAAAAGAGTGTTTAAGAGTTTCACAAAGCCCTCAAGGCTTGTGAGATGAAGGTCATTCCTGTTTTGCACATGAGGGCTCTGAGGCTTACTGAGCGGGTGCTGAAACACTCAGGAGCCTCCAGTTATCAGTCAGCCTTTATCAGTCCAGATTTCTTGAGCATCTACTATGTATCAGGCATTGTTCTAGCCACAGGAAATGCCTCATGGAAGAGAAAAAGGCCATGCTTCTGCATTTAAGAGATCTGCAGTGTCTGTGGCGCCAAGGTTGACGATCCCCATCTCCCCCCGAATTCGTCATCTCTCTATCCCAGCCCTCGTGGGTTCTCTCCCCTGAGCAATTCTCATTCCCCTTTAGTCTGTATCCCGAGGCTTGGCTCTCATCAGAAACTGCCCTTTATACTACTTTTTCATGATGTGCAAAAATCTCTTTGCACACATGCACTCAGATTGCAGGATCTGTGCCACTGCTGTAACAGCCAGCATAGCGTGTCACAGGTCATGTGTGTTCAGAGCCTGGACCGGTGGGTTGTTGGCTGCCCCCCTCTGGAGTTGAAAATCTTGTGGTGGGGGAAACTTAATATGTCTTTTTCTGTGTATGTGTGTGTGCACACATGTGCACACGTGTCTGTGCACAGCTGCGAAGCCAGAGGCCTGCAGGAGATGCAGGCAGGAACTAACACGACTGATGCCCGCTGTGGTGAGTCCTGGAGAATGGGCCCTGGCAGCCTGAGAATGTGGGAACTGAAGGGGAGACTGAGGCACACAAAAATGCCAGGTGTGGGTGTCGCGGGGGTTAAGGTGGCTGGATCCCACATGACTGTGCAGTTTGAGTCCTGGATCTGGCAGTTTGAAACACACACAGGACAAGTGTGTGTCTGTGCCCAAAACTCCAAGAATGAGGGAGAAGGGACTGTGGCGTGGCCATCCCTTTCTTACTTTCTTGCTTTCTCTGGTGAGCACATATGCCCTATAGCAAACTTTAAAAAAGAAAAGATTTGATGGCTTTTGGGGCCAGCAGATGATGTAGTGGTTACGTTTCTGGACTCCCACATGGTTGACTGCAGTTCGAGTCCCAGACCCAGTGGCTTGAAACTCACAGGGGGTACATATGTGTGCAGGCCCAAGCTCTGGGAGGAAAATGGAGGAGAAGGGATTCTGTCTCCTGGGGAGAGACTTCTCACTTTCCTTCTCACTGTCTCTGACTTTCTCTCTCTCTAGTGAGCACATGTGCCCTAAGGCAAAAACCTCTAAAAAAAAAAAGATTTGATGGTTTTCAGATGTGAAAAAAATAAATTATTAAAAAAGAAAAGAAAAGAAAAATAATAAAATGACAGGTGGGGACAGGAGAATGGGTGGGGAGGTGAGAAGAGGAGGCAGTTCAGGGTGTGGCCTCCCAGCCCTGCTACTTATCTTGGGCACCGGGCAAGTATCTTTCTAGCTCCAAGCCTCAGCTTATTCATCTGTAAAATGGGACCACCACAGCACTGTCCTTAGTAGGTCAGGGGACATGCCTGGCACGAGTTCTCGTACTTGGGGGACAACCTGTAAGCGGTGTTCTGTCTGCCATCCCACATTCAAATACTGGTGTGACGTGACATCGTCCCCTCTTGGCTTCGGTTTTGATTTTAGAATGAAAACGTTGGCCTACAGCACAGATCATAAACTCAGGTAATTACAGGGACTAGGCAGGTCATGTTAATGAGTGGAAAAGGTCTGAGGTAAGAAAAATGCATCCTCTTTGCTTTTTCTCAAAATCGACCCTTCTCTCAGTAGGGCTGGAGCTAGAATGAGGTGAACGAAGCACTTGGCCATGGGCACAGTATTTAGGGGGTACCATAAAAACGCAGCAATCAAGATAAACAATATGTTGATGCAGGATTTTAAGAAATTTATATAAAGGTCCTGCAGATGGCATAGTGGTTACATCGCGGGACTCCCACATGGCCGACTGTGGTTCAAGTTCCGGATCTGGCATCCTGAAAATCACTCTGTGTGTGTGTGTGTGTGTGTGTGTGTGTGTGTGCCCAAGAGCTGGGTGGGGACAATGGAGGAGAAGGGATTGTGGTGTAGCCATCCCCCTTTGGGGTGATTTCTCATTTTCTCTCTCACTGTCTCTGTCTCTCTCTCCAGTGAGCACACATGCTCTAAGTCAAAAACCTCTTAAAAAAAAAAGAAAATACATGCAAAAAATTCATGATAAAATAACAGCATTTTAATAGAGACAGGATCCCACCCTGCATTTGCATGTGCTTGCCTTACCTCCTCTTAACCCTGGCCCTAATTCCAGTAGAACTTGATTTGAAAAATGGGCAGCTGGCCCCTGGTTTGCTGGCGTGGTGTCTGCCTGCTGACTTTCACAACACGGCAGTGATAAAACACTTGTCTTGAGTACTGAAGTTTTTGGTGTCCCCTAAATTTTGTCTCAGCTTGATTGCGTCCCTATGTTCACACTAGTCTCCTCCCTGCTCATTTGCCCATGTAAAGTAGAAACTTAGGTACAAGAAATCGTTTTCTTTCTCCCTCCACTCTTGTTCTCTCTCTCTCTCTGTCTCTCTTTTTCTTTCTTTCTAGTGTGTTTCTCAAGCCGCTGGGTCCAGGATTTGAACCGTTTGGTCAGCCACATGGGATCTCGCTGCCTTAACCACCAGGCCACAGAGCCACTCTCCATCCATTTATCTATGATGAAAACAACAGTACAGTCACTTAGGTCTGTGCTGGTCCCCAGCACTGAGCACAGTAGGGAGTGGTAGGGAGTGCGGTGAACAGGCAGACAACTTCCACTACCCAGTTCTGGCTGATGGTTGCCAGGTGGGGATGGAAGCCCACTGAGGCCCCATCTTCCCAATTTCTAGGGAAGACCAGATAGCCACTATTTTTTTTTAGAGGTTTTTACTATAGGGCGCGTGCACTTGCCAGACAGACGGAGAGAGACAGAGAGACAGAAAGCGAGAAATCACCCCTCAGGGGGGATGGTCACGCCGCAATCCCTTTTCCTCCATTCTCCTCTCAGGATCTTGGGCATGCACGCACATGCACCTGGCGTGAGTTTTAAGCCACCGGGTCTGGGACGCGAACTGCGGTCGACTGCATGGGAGTCCAGCGACTCAGCCATTACGCTAACTGCTGGTCCCAATAGCCACAATTTTTAATGCGGAATCTCTCCATTTTAAAATGTTGGAAAATATTTCAAAACTTAAAAAAAATAGTAGTGCTGGTTGCCCTAAAGCTACCTGCCAGCTGCATTTCCCGGAAGGCCCCCTTTTTTCACCCTCTGATGTCGATGGGCTCAGACACGGGAGGGTTTTGGGGTTCGGCAGACACAGCCACTGTGGACATGGGGTGGGGAGTAGCTGCAGGGCCGGGGCGGTACGTGCTGAAGTCTCGATTTCTCCAGACTCAGGGAATCGTTGGAGACTCCTGCTGGTGATCCCCATTATCCTGAGCACCCTGCTTGCCACCTCCTTGGTGTTGGTCCTTAGCAGTGAGTCTCCTGGTGGGAGATGGTGGGGAGGGAGGAGGGAAGGGTAGGGGGAATGGCCACCTGCTTCCTGATCTGGCCTGCCCCCTCCTCTAGCCCCTTCTTCTTCTTTTTCCCCCTCTAGGAAAGATGAAGAAATCAAAGAATATGGTAGGTCGCCCCTGGGGTCTGGGACTGAGTTTGGCCAACTGGAAAGGAAGCTTGACTCATTGTTGCCTATGGGGCAGGGAACTGCTTCGGAGTCTGTCCCTGAGACCCGCGGGATTGAAGCAGAACCCACCCCTAGACGCCAGCCTTGGCTCTCCCAGTCCCAGGCTTTTCCTCCCCAGAGTGCATCTCCCCACAGAGCTGCCCCTGCAGTACTGCCAGTGCTGGCTGTTCCCCACACCTTTCCTCGCAGTCAGCATGCAGGGAACCATGGTGCTGGGTCAGTGGGCCCGGGGTAGAGGGGCCGCTCCTTGAGCCTTCTGGCTCCCACTCTGGAAACTTCTTGTCACCCTTAGTGTGGCCAGCAGGGGGCAGGAGGCACCCAAAGAAACAGCACAGGCCCCCCTTATGGGAAGGGGCAGGGGCAGGGGTTTGGGAAGGAGGCTCTGCTTCTCAGGGAAGAGCACCCTAGAGGCACAGCTGCCTGTAGCTGGGGGTAACTCACACCTTGGCTCCCCAGACCCTCCCCCCTCAGGTTGATCGGCAGGTTCCGGAGGAGACGGTTTTTGTGGATTTTCCCGGGCCCAACCCTGCCGCCCCAGTGCAGGAGACCTTACACGGGTGCCAGCCCGTCACCCAGGAGGATGGCAAGGAGAGCCGCGTCTCAGTGCAGGAGAGACAGTGAGGCCGTACGTGCAGGAGCTTGGCGACTTGGCAAATGGAGAGCCTGGAGCTGCTGCTGCTGTACCACTGCAGTGTGGGGGACAGAAGTGGCACTCACGGGGCACAGCCCCCTCGACCTGCACCCAGCAGCTCCACACAGGAGCCCCAGCACCGGATGCAGGAGCAGCTCATCAGGGAGAGCTTCTCACCCGCCCTGGAGCCCATCCTGTCTCCCAACTTGCTTCTACAGATGGAAGTGAAACTTTGGTGATGGGGGCAGAATACGGTAATAGCCGCCAAGCCCTCCGCCCCAGCAGTCCGGTGTCAGAGATGCGTGAAGGGGGTTTCCGTAAGCCCAGGGACACACTGAATGTGCATTGCAGGGTTCTTTGTGGTATTTAGGACTGGAAGTCACTTAACTGATGTTAAGGAGACTGGCTAAATAAAATGGTAATATATTTATACAAAAGGACCTCAAAAACTTTCTTGAATTAAAAAAATAAGGAAAAAGAAAAAAGCATGTTGCAGAATGATGGGTATGGGATTTTTATTTTTAAAGTACATGCTTGTGCCCAGCAGATGGCATGGTGGTTAAGGCGCTGAACTCCACGTGGCTGACCAGAGTTTGAGTCCCCACCCTGAAAGCTTGCTTTTTCACTTTCTCTCTCTCTCTTCCCCTCTCTCTCTCTCATGAGCACCCTGCCCTATAGCACATTAAATAATAACAATAATAATAATAATCATGAATGTTTTAATAAATAAATAAATAAAATTTAAAAGTACATGCCCTGCCCAGCCCAGCCCAGCCCAGCCTGTAGCATACTGGAGCGGGGTGCTGGAAGACACGTGGCAGACCATGGATCTCCTGTTTGGGTAACTTGAAACACTGCAGATATGTGCAGGTGCCCAAGATCCTGGCAGGTCCGAGGAAGGGGACTATGGCATGGTCAGCCCTTGTCGAGAGCTCTCTCTCTTTTGCATATATACATGCACTCTCTATCAGGATTTAAACCAACAGCAAACACATCCCTCCGCTCCCCTAATGAGATATTGTCCACATCTAATGTACATCGTATAGGCAAGTGTAACCACAGCTCAGAGTGGTAATATCTGGGGTGGGGAGAACGGAGATTGCACTTTCCCATCATGCTTCTCTTTTTTTTTTTTCTCAAAAAGAGAGTGAATTCACTCTTATGTAATTTAAAAAAAAATCATCAAACATGCAAAAAGAAAAACGGGGGTGGACATGCTGGGTGACATGAGCTGTTTAACTCGCTGTCAGGCTTACAGAATTAGGGCACTTTTTCAGGATAAATAAGAATGTCCCCAGGCTTCTGCCCCTCCAGGGCAGTTTCCATGGGTGCTTACTTTTAGCATCTAGTTTGCAAAGTGTTCTCATTTGATTCATGTTCACACAAACAGCCTCCTGGGACAGACAGGTAGAAACGGAGGCCCAGAGATGTGAAGTGACTTGCCTGTGGCCACACAGCAGTATGTCCTGGTGCCATGCTCGGAGCTCCCCACTCTTGGTCCTGAGTGTCCCCCAGATCAGCCTGCTGTCCGGACCTGCATCTTCAGCTCCTTCCCAGGGAGATCCTGGGCCTCCCGGCGCCTTCTGACCCCCCTCCACTACAGGAGTTTCTGCTTCTCTGTCAGATGGTGCCCCCTTCCCCCCAGCAGTATCTTCAGATAAAAATAAACTGTCCTGTTCTGTTTCCCTGCTGTGCCAACTGAGGGGGAGCCTAGCCAGGAGGAGCGGCAGATGGAGTGGGAGCAGAGGGGAAGGAAGGAGAGGGGAGGAAGGTTGGAGGACAAGGAGGAGAGGAAAGAGCAAGGCAGAGTGCCAGGAGAAGCCCCTGTGTCGAGAAGTTTAACCCAGGTGACGCTTAACCTAGGGTCTCAATCTTGCTGGGCAAGAAGTTTTGGATTTCCCCAACGTGTCCTGCTAGCTGGAGGGAGGGACTGGAGAGGGCTTGTCCCAGTGAGGCTGTGAGGGCTGCTGGGAGCCAAGAGAGGGGCACCTGGCTTGGCAAGCTTCCCAGAAGGGCTTCGAGAACCATTTGGATGCACCAAGTGGGGGCCTTTGGTTTAGAAAGCAGAGCAAAGTGGTGGGGGTGGGGTGGGGAGGGGACCTTGGGACTTAATCCTCACTGGCTCCCTAGAGCCCAGGTACTAGTGTGGCTCACTTCCGGGTGGTGAGATGACAGAAGGCGAGGGGAGAGCCAGCCCTGCCATCTCTCATCCGTGTGACCTTCGGCCAGCTACTTTCACCTCTGTGCTTCTCAGTTTCCTCATCTGTAAATGGCGGCCATCCCTGTAACGTGCTACCGAGCCCTCCTGCATTCTCTCCTCGGTCAGAGATCTCAGACTTAACTGTGGATCAAACCCCCTGAAAGGCTTGTCAGACAAGTTGCCAGCCCCTGCCTCTGTTTCTGGCTCCGGAAGTGTAGGATGGAGATCAAGAAGTTTCTATTCTCTTAAAAAAATATTTTTTTTAAATTTATTTCTTTTGAGAGAGAGAAGGAGAGGCACCCCAACAGCCTTGTGCCATACTTCGCCCCCAGTTTCAGCTAGCCCTGGATCGTGGGCACACACACATGCCTGGTGCATCCAAGAAGGCGTGAACCCAGATGTGAACCCAGAACCTTTCCATGTAGACCGGCCTTGCAGTGTCTCATTTTGTCGCTATGCCACCATTTGTCCCCAAGAAGTTTCATTTCTGACAAGTTTCCTAGGTGGTGCAGACACTGCTGGCCCAGGGACTGCCCTTTGAGGGCCGCCACCCTTAACCCGCTTATTTCTCTGCAGCTGGTGCCTGTTTGAGCGCTTGTGACCGCTTGTCTCAGGAGCTTTCTCGGGTTTTGAAGACGTGCTCACCACGTAGGCTGTAGCTGGGGGATTTCAAGCCCCGGAGTACTCTCAACCAACTAGCCATGAAAGTTGGCAGGTAAAAACTCCCGCTTCTTGGGGCCAGCATATGGCATGATGGTTACATCACTGGACTCTCACATGTCTGACCGCGGTTCGAGTCCCAGACCCAGTGACTTGAAACTCACACTGGGCACACGTATGTGTGTTCCCAAAATCCTGAGAGGAGAATGGAGGAGAAGGGATTGTGCCATGGCCATCACTCGGGGGGCAGGGGTGATGTCTCACTTTCTGTCTCTGTCTCTCTCTGGTGAGCACACGTGCCCTAGAGCAAAAGTCTCTCTCTCTTTTTTTTTTTTTTTTTTTTAAATCCTGCTTCTTTGGCCTTGGAAGGGATAAATGTGGGGTGTTCTACACTGTCTCTTAGGCTCCCTGGAGGGATTGAGCCCAGGTGCCTACAGATAAACTGGGATCTGTTTCTTC